AAGTTTAAAGAGGAAGTCGCTGATGACACTGAGCTGAACACCATCCTACTTTGAGATCTCCAATACACTGATAAAATTGTCTTGTTGGCACAATATAGTGAATCACAGCAGCTGACAGCTAGTCTGGTTGGGCAAGAAGCAGCATGCATCGATTTGGTTAATCCCAAACTAAATCCTTGTCCATTACCATTAAGCAGCCTCCAAATCCAAATTACAACCAGTTTATTATTAACCTCTTTAGACAGAATAGCAAACAGATGGTGACTGTCAAACATCTGGGCAACACCATAAACAGTTCTGGAGGATGCTCGAAATACATGAACGCTTGTATAACAGCAGTTGCTTCATGTTTCTAGCCATTTAGTGGCCTCTGTGGAGACACTGTGACATCAACCTTGCCTCAAATCTGTGAATCTATAGAATCATAATTATACCAACTTTATAGTAAAGTGGTGATATGTGGGGGCTGAAGAAGGCTGAGGAGCAGTGGATTAATGTTTTCATTTCATCAGCTGCTCCACAATAAGTGGCAGGACAAGATCAGCAATGATGATATTTATAGCTGAAACTAGCAACTACCTTATCAGAACTGGTTTGGTTTCAGCAGCTGTCCTGGTACAGACATATTATTAGGATTAAAAACCAATGAATTGTAGAGCATGTTTACCAAGGAATTCCACTCTATGGCCAAAAAAAACTCAGTGGCACTATCAGATCACCAGTGACAGACATAGACTGAACATCCAGCCAGATGTCTTAAGGATTTAGCTAGGTTTCAGAGGAACAGCCGTGTTAGTCTGTATTCGCAAAAAGAAAAGGAGTACTTGTGGCACCTTAGAGACTAACCAATTTATTTGAGCATGAGCTTTCGTGAACTACAGCTCACTTCATCAGATGCATACCGTGGAAACTGCAGCAGACTTTATATATACACAGAGAATATGAAACAATACCTCCTCCCACCCCACTGTCCTGCTGGTAATAGCTTATCTAAAGTGATCAACAGGTGGGCCATTTCCAGCACAAATCCAGGTTTTCTCACCACTGGTTAACCAGTCGGAGAACACTTCAATCTCTCTGGTCACGCAATCACAGACATGAAGGTCGCTATCTTAAAACAAAAAAACTTCAAATCCAGACTCCAGAGAGAAACTGCTGAATTGGAATTCATTTGCAAATTGGATACTATTAATTTAGGCTTAAATAGAGACTGGGAGTGGCTAAGTCATTATGCAAGGTAGCCTGTTTCCTCTTGTTTTTTCCTACCCCCCCCCCCAGATGTTCTGGTTTAACTTGGATTTAAACTTGGAGAGTGGTCAGTTTAGATGAGCTATTACCAGCAGGAGAGTGAGTTTGTGTGTGTATGGGGGTGGGGGGGATGTGAGAAAACCTGGATTTGTGCAGGAAATAGCCCGACTTGATTATGTAAAGAGTTGTCACTTTGGATGGGCTAGCACCAGCAGGAGAGTGAATTTGTGTGGGGGTTGGAGGGTGAGAAAACCTGGATTTGTGCTGGAAATGGCCCACCTGTTGATCACTTTAGATAAGCTATTACCAGCAGGACAGTGGGGTGGGAGGAGGTATTGTTTCATATTCTCTGTGTATATATAAAGTCTGCTGCAGTTTCCACGGTATGCATCTGATGAAGTGAGCTGTAGCTCACGAAAGCTCATGCTCAAATAAATTGGTTAGTCTCTAAGGTGCCACAAGTACTCCTTTTCTTTTTAAGGATTTAGCTAGAGATCAATCTGAGTGATGCTCAATCTGCAGGGAGGCAATGTTCCCTTCGGATTTGCCTTGATGATGACGACCACTGAATCAGGCAGGCTGCACAAAAAACTTAGGCCCAGAGATTTTTAAAGGTATCTAGACATGGGTGTGTTCAGTGTGGCAATGCCTAACTGATTCAGGAGCCTATTTCTTATTTTCAAAAGGGACTTAGGTACATAGAAGCCTAAATCCCCTTGACAGTCAAAGAATTTGGTTTTACCTTTTTTCTTTAAAAATAAATAAATTTAAAAAAAAAAAAAAGACTAATATGACCCGGACAGACACACACAGACACAAATACATATCTTACAAGAATGTTGTTTCAGGCGCAAAGTCAACCACTGAAAATTTAAGAAATACATTATGATACAGTCTTTAATTATACAATCCCCGCTTCAGTCGGTACAGAGCAGAGATACACAAGGGGTCAGAATTAAGGCTGGACAGGCAATCATGAAACTATCATTTCCTAACTTTCAAATGCTGGACTTTGCAACTTTAACTACGTTCTTTTAACAGAGAGAGAGAGAGAGTGTGAGTGTGTGTGTAAAAAATAATATACACCAGTGGTGGGCAACCTGTGGCCCACAGGCTGCATGCAGCCTGTCAGGGTAATCCACTGGCGGGCCGCGAGACAGTTTGTTTACATTGACTTTCTGCAGGCACGGCCACCCGCAGCTCCCAGTAGCTGCGGTTCACCGTTCCTGGTCAATGGGAGCTGTGGGAAACTGCGGCCCATGCTGTTTCCTGCAGCTGCCATTGGCTGGGAACTGTGAACCGTGGCCATGCCTGTGGAAAGTCAATGTAAACAAGCTGTCTCATGGCCAGCCAGCAGATTTATCCTAATGGGCCACATGCGGCCCATGAGCCACAGGTTGCCCACCACTGATATACATGCTAACACACACACAAAACCATATCACTTGTACTCTCCCCTGAACAAGTCTGCAGTTTGGTCTCCTGATGTCTTCATTTTGACTATACAGAGTTGAAATCTGAAAAATGCAAGTGCCAGCATACAAAGTTCCATCTTAATTGACAGATGGAGCAACTCACACGGATTCCTATAGTCTCCACTGGCTACACCTCCATGTTCATGATGAGGACAAGTTCAATCTGTTCCAATTATTGAAAACCCTGTCCTTTTATTCATCAAAAGCTGTTAGCATGACCCTCGGTTGTACAAGATTTGAACATCCACGTAATATGCATTAAACTGAAAATTCACCAACATTCTGATGGAGGGGTAGGGTGGCTGACATTAAATAATAATAAACTACCTTACATTTATAACCTATCATTAAAAATTCTCAAAGCATTTTGCCAGGTAGGAGAGATTTATTGTCCTCATTTCATACAAAGGAATGTACCTTCTCTCTCAAATTACTTATAAAAATACTTGCTATTAATAGTTAGAACCTATGAATTAGTCCAAAAAATTACTTCAATAAGTTTAAGTAATATACCCCTTGTGCAAACTAGTTTATTATTAAAAACAGATATTTTACAGGTATCACTGTTACAGTTTACATACTCAGTTATCAGTTCACATGTAAAAATTCATCTTAATTCTGACCCAGAAGACCTATTTATAAACTCTATCAATGTATATTTGACTGGCATGTGTTGTATATCTTGAACTGCGTAAAGTAAGCAATTAGTGATGCACATATTGCAAAAGTTATGCTATGAAATTAAAAAATTCTCTCTCTTCTTTCATATTTGGTTTCTCAATTCATCCAAAAGTCACCCATCAATTTCAAGACCACAAAAATCCTCAGAAGGTCACAGATCATGGCTTCATAAGGGATTTCACCTGACCATAGGAAACCCTTTTGATTCCTGGACATGTTATAAACTCTGTGCGTCATTTTTCCATTCTTGGGCTCTATGTCATTTTGAAAGATGCCACTTGTTTAACTATTGTAAAAACAGACTATTTACAGTAAGTAACCAGTGTTTTAAAACATTTAACACTCATATATCATAATTTCTTCCCAGAAAAAGCCTCCCAGAGATAACAAAAGAACAATAAACTCACAGGAAGCCAACATTCCAAAGAAAAACAACTAAATTTCACAGATCAACACATCTGAATTGTAAATATGCAACATTGTAAATAGAATCCTTTCAATTCAATACCATATTTAAGATATCTCAGACCCAAACATGTTAATCATATTTAATTGTTTGGTGGATTGAGTCCTAATATTCTATTTATTTTAAGTGCTTTGGCAGTTAGGTACTTTGCAGCTAAATGCCACTACCACATTAAAAAACACACAAATGACACGCACAGGATTTGTTTTCAAAGGATCCTAAGGGAATTAGGAGCCCAAGTCCCACTGAGTTTCATAAGCACCAGGAAAAAAAAAATCTAATAAAAGAATCCCAGGACCAGCCATAATTATATATATATATATATATATACACATACATACACACATGGGGTTCTCAACCTTTTTCTTTCTGAGCTTCCCCCTCCAAACATGCCATAAAAACCTCTACAGCCCATCTGTAGCACAACTCGTTTTCTGCATATAAAAGCCAGGGTCAGCATTAGAGGGTAGCAAGCAGAGCAACTGCCCAGCACCACATGCCACAGGGGCCCCCCGTGAAGATAAGCCGCTCAGGCTTTGGTGTCAGTCCCTGGTGGTAGGGCTCAGGGCTTCAGCTTTCTGCCGAGGGCCCCAGCGAGTCTGATGCTGGCCCTGCTTGCAGGACCCCCGGAAACCTGCTAGCGGCCCCCAGGACCCTGGTTGAGAACCACTTATATATACACCATTCAGTTTACGACCTAATTGGACATATGTCCTGCATTATGCCCTGAAGCCTACAAGAAGCAGCTATTTCATCAGAACTTCATTAACTGAGAATTCCCTGCTACCTATGGTACTCTAGGAATGTAGAGCAGAAGTGACCCAATAGAACTCATCTGTCAGGACTGGATATAGGAGCAGGGGAATATACAAACATTTAATATAGTTTTGACACATAACTATAAATTTTATTTTCCAGGGTACAAGATGACAGAATCCTGTGATGGTACACATAAAACCTTAATCTGAATCACAAATCAATTTAATACAGTGGAGGTCTTAGCAGCACAAGTTGCAGAGTGTGCTTTTTATTTCTCTACCAAATAAATAATTATCTTAGGACAATACAGAGTGACAATCCAAATTTGGAGAAAAACATTATATATGACTTTAAGAAATCATTTAACTCACCTGCCCCTGCTGGGGTGATAAACAATTAACAACTTCTTTTACCATCACTGGTATGTGTGGTCTTCTACAATCTTCATCATCTGCACTTTGATGTAGCTTTTGAACTTCATGGTTATGCATCATTTGCTTTTTAATTCCATATTCATAAGTCACTTCCAGCCTTTCTGCTGAAGAATGTATATTTCTAGCCCAAATACCTACATTTACTGAGCTAGTTTCTAAACTGGACAGAAGCCATCGTTTGTAGACTTGGCACAAATACCGAAACAGCACCATACTGTAGTTAGGCCAACCTGGAAAAACAATAAATATTGGAAATAATTTTAAAGTAAGCATTTTAAATAATAGGTTGGGGAAGGACGTGGAAGTACAAAAAAGCAGTCACACATCCCATGGTACAAAGTCCCAGAGAAACACTACATTGGCAGAAATTTAGACACACAGTCGTCACTATAATCTCCAATGGTGGTTTCCTTTCATGATGATTTCTCCAAGGCCCTCCACCCAATATGGATGCTCCAAGCCACAGTGCTTCTCTTTAAGTATTACCATAAAACTTTTCTTTCCTCTTTAGCCTATGACTTTGACTGTGGCATGACATATTGAGGATACTAGTATTAAAATTAAGTACATGGTAAATGATATGTGATCAGATCTGAGTACAAAGTATACAAGTAAAGCCAACTAGGCTTCATTACTTTAAAAAAGTATTGCCTTCCTCTGTAATGGTTAACATGCTTTCAACATCAGCGCACCACAGCGCAATTAATTTTGTAGTGTTCCCTGTAACCAGTTAAAATAGGAAAATGATGAGTGTCCAACGCTGTAGTTGGATTTAATACAGTGCCAGAATCATGTTATGATCAATAAAAACATTTGTAGCAGTACACGATAACATCATGTAATCAAATCTCATACTTCAGAACATCAAACATTGGGTGAGAAATGAAACGTCAGACCATTTGTCTACTCAGGAATACCTATTTTTATCAGTTTCATACTGTTTGTGAACATGCCATACGTTTCTTTTATACGAAGTCATACCTAGATGACAAACTAGTAAGAGTACACCTACCTTCTTTATTTTAGTAGTGGAGTGCTATATCCCTTAGGCCAGTGCTTCTCAACCCACAGGCTGTTTGCAGGCCAATCAAAGCATATGACATCCTTGGGGCCATACAGGTAGTATATATATTTTGTGGCTGCGGCCCACATAACACAGAGAGCTGCATATGTGCCCACAATGGTAAATAGGTTGAGAACCACTACTTTAGGCTAATCTTTTATTTTCATAACAGAATGAATTGGCATTTAGCTGCAAAGAGGTAAAAAGACGGGTTTTATTTACAGGAATTTTACATTTGTTTTCTGAGCAAATACCTCCTTCAGTCCCACATTTCATATGCTCTTTTAACAGGCAAAAAAGAAAACACAGACATAAGGCCATCTGACAATATGCCATACTGTATTTCTATTATTAATGGAGACAATGTCTAATCCCATGATGCAATTTATCTACCCAGTTTTTAATCTATTCTATTTATTCAGGTCTACCCATCATTCAGTCATTTCTATTGTTTGCCACAAAATGGGAACATGCTGAACAATCATTTTAAGAAAGTTACCTTCATTATAATCTAGGCCCCACCTGTTAAATTGCACCACACTTTAAAAGATAAACAAATTAGGCAAGTTCTCTGTAATCAGATATTTTCTTGTTCTCCAGAAACTGTTTAAATTACTGATGGATAAAATTACCTATAAGATACCTATGAATAGCTACCATCAATCGGCTTATCCCACCCTGTAACTGCAGGCCAAATAAGCGAACTTTACAATATTGGAGATAAAATTGTTGAAAAGGTGCTTGTCTCCTTATTTAATTCAGAAGTATGCCTCACACTATGGCCCTGATCCTGCAGTGAGCTCTCTCTAAACAGACTATGGCACTCTCATAGAGATCACTACAAGATCAGAGCCAACATTGATAATCATTTTATTGTCTACATCCTTAACCAGAATTGCTTTATGTAGTCATATGAACCCAGTAAGACGTTATACATATATATTATATTCAAACACGATTCATATCCCAGAAAAATATATTGATAAGTTACTTCCCAGCACTCTCATTTTAGGCAACTTTTTGTTTTAAAAAGCAAGAGTCACATTTCTTCTAAAATTCATGCCAATTAGCATTTCGATGTGCTGTTTGTACTGGGAGTTTGTAAGCGAACACGTTGCTGTCATTTGTTGAACTCCGACTTTAGGAAGAGAAGATGTACAGCCTCCGGTGCAGAAGGGTGAATGAACAGGAGATAAAACCTCAGCGAGCACTTGGGCTTGCGACACACCCCACACCCCGGGCGTGGAGGGCGGCAGGAGTGGGGGTGGTGAGCAGCATCCTCCCACAGCGGGTGGGACGAGCGCTCTAGCCAAAGGGGGGAGAGACGAAAGCACCACAGGGACCGTTAACTCGTTTTCAACGGATGGCTCCGCGGCGTCTGGTTTTACTGTGCGTCTACAACGAGGCTTCGAAGTCTCTACACCCGAGAGCGGTAGAGGGCCGGCCGGCCACCCCTTACCCCCCTCTTCCAGCCGAGCCGCCCCCGCCTGCTTCTCCTCTCCCCCCCGCAGGCCGCGGAGACGGTGGGAGACGGAACAAGGGCCCGGTACTCACTGCAGATCACGCCGCCGCCCCTCTCTCGCTGCCGGGGTATGAATGCACAGCCGAGCCGAGCCGCCCCGGCTTCCCCTCCCCTCACAACAAGGCACCGGTGCCTTCAGTTCCGCCTGCATGTTGCTGCCGCGACGGCGGCCCCCACCTGTCTCATGTGGGAGCAGAGGATCCCTGAGGGACCAGGGAGACGTAAACGCCCGAAGGGGAGTGCCCCCCCCCGCCCCCGAACCCGTTCAGATCTCCCCAACTGCCCGGGGCCCCACCGTGGTGTATCCCTCGCTCAACAGCCACATTGCACTCGCCTCAAGCCAGCCCCGTGAACTCCCCACATTCGATCCTGCCTGTAGCCCCCTTTCCCATCTCCGCACCGGCTCCTCTCTGTGCACAGCCACATACAAACACCTGCCCCCTGTATATACACACTACGCTCCCCTTGAACAACACCAATCAGCACGCCTGCCAACTGCAGACAAACCCACTTACATGCTTGTCAGTTGCATACTACCACTTCCTGTACATAACCCACACGTATACAAATGCACACGCCCCATCCCGTCATATGCAATTAAATACAGTAATACTTTATTGGCATGAAAAGCTATGCAACGTTGCGAACGTTTTAAAAGACACCTCGAGTATCTGCCAGTGGCAGATATGTGGGACCTGCCCAGGTCAGGGTTTCGCCCTGTTTGGGGTTTTATCTCCGACACTTACTTGTCATTAGTGTCACAACCCATGCTACTCCTACACCTACCTCTCAGCTGCATAGAAACATATGCATCGATTCTATATACATAAATCTACCTCAGGTACATACCAACTTCTCACTCACTCACACACAAACACAACCACCACCACCAAGTTGTGTACACAGCCTACTACAGAAGTGCCAGTCACGACTTCAATCATTAGGCTGAGTAAAGTTTTAGTCCAATCCAGCAATACTTTGTGGGCATGCATGCTAATCTATTTGTTAGTTTCCCAATCTCTGTTCTAATCTTCTTCTTGAATGAATTTTGATGCTAGAAGTGGGGCTTGTTGCACCCGTGGAGACCCGTTCCCACTCGAGCAAGGATGCAGCACTGTAATCACGCATCCGTAGTTGTTTTCACAACTCCTGCTGGGCTCCTGCTGTGAGCCTGTGTGTGCAATATGTAGAGACAAACGCATAGTGCAAAAGATGGTTTGCGAATAGTCGTTTGCCTTTAAAGTGAAATGTAGTTGATTTCTACAATATTCACCAGTTCTGTTATAAAATTTGCTCAGCTACCTGTACAACTATTTGTGATTTATTCATCCAAATACAGTATAACGTGACTTGCAGCCCCCTTGAGTATGCGCACCCCCACCCAGGGGCTTAATGCAACTTCTCCCACTCACCCCTTTGTGCACGATGGATTGCTAGCCCGCCCAGTAGGCCACCTGTCTCCCACCCCCAGGCAGAACAGGACCCTGCAGGGGGCTTCTCGGAATTATATTCCCCTTTCTCACGTGATAACACCCAAAAGGAACAAGCTGAATAAGCACAGAGCCCGTAGGCACGGGGCACGTTTTCCTAGCAGGAAGAGTAGCGCTGCCCCCACCACTTGACCTTCCAGTGCTTTACTGAGCCTGGACGGATCCCCGCTCGGATCAAAAGAGTCCCGCTTGCACTCGGCGTGGTCGCACTAGAGACGTCATTACAGCGCAGGCCAATCAGGTGGCGAGGGCAGGCGGGCCGCTTGTGTTTGAATTTGGTCACCGTGAGGCTAGAGAACGAGGTGACAGGGGGTGCGGCCCGGGCAGAGCCAGCGGCGCCCCCCCGCCCGCAGGTAAGTGCGGCTGCTACTGCCCCACGCGACAGTCTCCCCCTGGCCGGCCTGCGGAGGGAGCCCTCGGGCCAAGCTGCGGGGGGGTGGAGGCGTCTGAACCGGCTGGAGCCGCCGCCCGGAGAGGAGTCTTGCCCGGCGCTGGCGGGGCGACCGGTCTTTGTTACAGCTGTAACTATCTGCCTGATACGATGTGCAAATAATGATGGTGATATCCTAGAGACGGGAGCTTGTAGGCTGCTTTGTAAAGGACTTTGTATTTTGGGAGGGACAAGAGAAATATTTATCTTAGTTATCAGAGGCCTGGTCATCATTACCATAAACGTGCTGTGAGTTGAAGGGAAGCTGTCAGTTTAAAACTTGCACTTCTGCCTGAGAAATGTTTACTTCATAACTAATTTGTAAGATTATTCTAAAAGGAAAAATCCTGTTTTCAATGTATTGGATAGCACCTCTCTGCAGCTAGTTTCCTTCTTTCCCCTGTGTAATCAGTTTTCCCTGTCCTTTGTGTGGCTCTTTCACACAGGGACAGACAGACAATATTGCTTACTCTGAAATGCTCAGTCTTGCAAGAGTCATGGGAATTTGCAACATGGAGCTCTCTGGAGGATCAGGTCCAAAGATTTCAAAAGCAAAAACAAATAGAATTTGGGGACAGGCATAATGCCTGAAATTAACTTTGACTCCTTTGAAACTATCTAGATTTAAAGTTAACAATGTTCCTGTAAATTACTTTTGCCGCCAGACCAGCAGAGTTTTATATTGACTCCATCTTAAATATTTTGTTTGGGTTTTGTTTATACTCAAGTGATTTAATGTTAGTAGAGGAGACAAATCAAGACCATTATATTTTTTACATAAAGTGATATTTATTGTCTTTTAAAAATCTGGTGAAACTAAGATTAGTGCTTACTGGGCCATGGTGGTTTACATGGTGGTAACTTGCAGTAAAGGTGCCTGACTAGTTTAGAAATACAGTAGCAGTCGTTTCCTAACTGTTTAAAAATAATTCCTTTTATTGGAGCTTTCAGGGTATTCTGATAATGTTAGTTTGGAACTATTTTTGGACGTTTTAAAATCATTTAGAATGTTTCATTTTTAATTGAGGATTTTATTTTGGAAGATGATATAAAGTAAGTATCTGTGTTTGCATTCACACTGTACCATACCCAGCATGTAGGGTGTATGGGATTCATAGCAGCACTGTGCATCCCAGAAGAACTTTCAGGATGATGAAATAGCATTCCTTTTTAAACTCACAATCCATAAACTGCCCTATAAACAAATGCAATTAATTTTTCAGTTTTCCACATCATTTTTACTTTAGGGACAACAGAGACTGGGAGTTCTCTCACCAAACTCCTTGCTGGCTTATGATGAAAAGGGCTCAGTAGACTGTACCCTGGCCCTAGAGAGAAAAGGGCTACGTGGAGAGTCGCAGTGAGCATTTGAGGCTAGCCTAAACTGCTTGAAAGCATGGGACCCATGGGGACAAGGTCAAAGCTCTGCCACAATATAGATAAAGCTCTTAACTAGCATGTTGTGTATTTGTAATGTATATGAATTTTTAACAATAAATTAATTGTTCTGTACACTATTTAAAGAATTGGACACTAGGCTGGAAATGTGAGACTATTATTCCTTTGATATCATGAAAAGACAACTGGCTGTAGATTGATCTTAACAATATAAGAAATGTACTACTTAAGTCTTGATGAAATAACTCTTTAATAAATTAGAAAATTGGACTTGTGTGTTTGATAGATGTTGTTGCCTTGGACATGAGCTAATTGCAAAGCTGTAGCCACATTCTGAATTCTAAAGTCATCTCATAACTGTTTTCATTTACAGAAGAGATTTCAGTTGCTTGGTCTGGAGAATTTTTCTTGGTAGCAAAGAAGAATTAAACCAAAGCATCATCATGTCTACTGCTACCCAGGAAGATATTTGCAATCATGTGAGAGTGGTGGTCCGTGTCCGTCCACAGAATCAAAAAGAAAAAGATGGCAACTTTAATAAAGTGCTTCATGTTGTAGACAAGCACATGCTGGTCTTTGATCCAAAAGAAGAGGAATTTAGCTTCTTTCATGGGAAGAAAATAGCATATAGGGATATTAACAAGAGAAAAAACAAGGATCTCAATTTTGTGTTTGATGCTGTTTTTGATGAAAATTCATCTCAATTAGAAGTTTTCGAACACACTACCAAAACTGTGCTTGATGGCTTTTTAAATGGATACAATTGTACAGGTAACTTTTCAATTTGTCTCCTTGAATTGAACAAATCATATTTAATTTCTGGAAATCTCACTTAGGTGCTAAAATTGATTTTGAACAGCTGCAGCTTTATCACTAGCAGTCAGAGGCAGGAGATTCACTTTTTATTTTCTCTCTCTTTTTACAAACACAGACAGAGAAGAAGACCTATTTTGTAAGAAATCAATATTGGGATTATAGTAGATTTCATAATTGGTGTAGTGATATGATACTCATACTTAAACTAATCTTTCTGAAAATTCAGTGCTTGCATATGGCGCAACAGGAGCGGGAAAGACCTACACGATGTTGGGCTCACCTAAAGAACCAGGAGTGATGTATTTAACCATGATGGACCTTTACAATTGTATGGATCAAATAAAAGAAGAGAAACTGTGTACTGTTGCCGTTTCATATCTAGAGGTAAGCCAACAGTTGTATTTTGTGTATTGCTATCAATAAAGAATATTTTCATATATAAAATACAGTGAAACCTGTCTGAAGGAATGATTAAGGAGTGACATAAACTGGATGCTTAAGAGAGATGTAATAGAGATGGAGTAGAACCATGCTCAATGATTTGGAGATGTTTGTAGGGTAAAATCTTAAAATAGGATGCTGCCCAATAAGAGTAATTTCTTCTGAAGATTTCATTGAACACTCCAGTTATCATCAGTATTTTCCAAATTATTTAATTATACACCCTTATAAAACACACAGATATTATGTGCAACAAAATATCCTTGAGTTGGCTGATAACTTCAGGGCTGAGCACAACTGAAATGCCTATGAATAGTGTGGAATCACTTGATTGTAATTCAGACTGTTTGTTTGGTTTTTTTTCCCCTTTCGGTTATGAGATTTTTTTTTTCAGGTTTTTTGTTTGAGTTTCTATAGTAGTGTTTAAATTGAAAGGTTTTTTCTGGTTGAATTCAGACAACAGCTATCTGAAGATAAGGGCTGTCATAAATATAAAGGGAAGGGTAACCACCTTCCTGTATACAGTGCTATAAAATCCCTCCTGGCCAGATGCAAAATCCTTTCACCTGTAAAGGGTTAAGAAGCTAAGGT